AGTCCCGGAAGGCGCTGCACACCTGCTGTTGCTGTGCCTGGTCTTCCCGCACCTGCGGGGCTGAGCACCGCCGCGCGGAGAGGCCTGCGACCAGGGCAGGTGCAGGGCGTTCCCCTGCCTTCCTCACTTCCCTCCCTCACACTCGCACCCTCAGGTTTTCCTCTGCGGGTCAGTGATGGGGGTAGAGCCAGACGATGTGGCGTTTGTGCGGAGTCCCACTCAGTCTACACTCCTCTTGGGAGCCCAAGTCCTTCCTAAAGGCATCGCTCCATTTCCTGACTTGGCATCCCCTATAGGGAGACCCCTTTGGGGTGCAGCAGGGCAGACACTCACTGAACCTTTAGAGCAATCCCTCTGAAGAATGATACCGTTTAGTGCCCCCCCCCCCAAAGTTCCCCCAGTAGTTTCATTCTTCCCCCCATTTCCTCCAATACTCTGACTTTGAAAGGCTGGTGAGTGTAGAGCTCTGAAGCAACTGAAGTTCAAATGGGGTTGGGGAGACCCTGGGGAACTGGGCTACTGCCCCCAAGGCCTGGTCAGTAGAGATCCTACCTCCATAGTCAAAGGACTTGGGGAACCCCAGTTCTAGGTTTCTACATGACAGCTGCCCCGATCAACCCTCAAACAGAAAGGCCAGGATCCAGCCATACCTCAATGGACCCCAGGGGCATCTTGAAGGCATTTCCCAAGCGGAAGAAAATCCTTGCCAATCCATCATCAAAAGTACTTGCAAAGATTCCCAAGAGGGAAGACGAAGAAGAAGCAAGAGGTGAGCAAACCCAATCTCAGAACCCACGTTGTTCATGGCCAGAAGCAGATAGAGCCGACTCTGCCTGCCCAGGGCCTGCAGGTTGGTTTATACCTGCCTTGCAGTAGGCTTGGTCCCAGGTCTTTGTTATCTTCTACTTCACCCTGAGACCTCCATTAATCAGAAAATACTCCTAGCCCCTAAGGAAATGACCAGCAGAATCTTTGCTCTCCAGGAGGTTCCCTGCAGTGTGTGTGGCCGGGATGGGGAGGGGGGGCAGAAATCCATCTCAGGCCCCTAGAGTTAAAAGATATTTTGTAGCCAAATTGACAAATAGATGGCAAAAACTTACATTGGGTGGGAAGGAAGGATCTATTAGACTGTGAGGCCTATAAGATATATATGCCTTGTGCCTGGTATACAGTAGGTATCTATTAATACTTGTTGAAAGAATAAATGAACAAAGTGATTTATAGGATGCCTACAATGTGCCAGACACTGTTCTAGTTTGCCTCTTACATCAAGTGATGACACATAAGAAAGTTAATTGTCTGCTTGTGGTGGGACCCTCAGAAGGCAGGTTGCCTGAATGGAAGAAAAATGATTGTTTGGGGGTAGGAGACTCTAATGGGATCATTCGGAGCAGGTCTGAAAGTTATGACAATAGGCATATGGATATCTCCTCCACAGAGTGGCTGAGTTCCCTACGGGCCCATGTTGTGCCCGCTGGCATTGGGCGAGCCCGGGCAGAACTCTTTGAGAAGCAGATTGTCCAACATGGTGGCCAGATATACTCTGCCCAGG